ATAATATTGCAAAAAAAATGAATCAATAAATTAATGACATATTTCCTTCCTGGTAATGTGCCATGATCAAAAATAAATGTGATTTAGATCAGAAGAGCTGAATGAATCTTACTACTATCCTATCATATTAATTTCTCTTACCTTGGTTTATTTATTTGTAGATGGGGTAAATAATATTAAACTTAGCAACTTATTTTTAGTACTGAATGAGCTAAGGAATATAAAAATAGCCTGTAAATTGTAAACACTCTACAAAATATTAGTACTTTTATAAATCTAATTATCTAATTCTTAGTCAAAAGAACCTTGTTTTAAATTATTACTTTTATGTCACTTCTTAATTACTTTTCCCAAGGAAAAAGCGGTGTCTCCACCTTTCTATCAATTATTTTGTAAATTATCTATCACCTTGTAAATTCATTGGATAATTGAGACTTAGGGCGAATAATACTACAGAGGAGGTTTTCAATAAGAAAGACAACAGGAAGAGCTACACTTCTCAGAAAAACATTGATTTGTGGATAACTGAGACATAATGACCAATATCTTCTACATAGGCATTATGTAAAAATTTTGCACAATGGAAATTAAATCTCTATGAACTCAGAGCGTCTGACTGTGTTCTGTCTGACAGTGCACATGAGCTAAAAGAAGGATAGATAATGTAATTTGTAGTCTGGTATATCATATTTCATAATATTTGGGAGTAACATACCAAGTACAATCCTGACAGCAGCAATCAAGAAGAAAACCTACAAGTACTAGAATATTTGGTGAGCACAATAGTTGTAGGATGAAAAATGCTTGCTTCAAAAGGTCAGTTAATAACATTTTTGGATTACTTCTAAAGGTAACAGAGCCAAAAAATTTTTAAGAATGGAGTTTTGATTTTTAAAAAGAAAATTTGAGTAAGTTGATGTGTCAGAGAAAAGACTGCAGGAAATAGGGAAGCCAGTTCCTTTTTATTATAAACATAATTAAACATTGGCTGGAATCCATGCTATTATTAAAGTCTTGAAAGCAAGATGGTTTGGTAGAAACGCTAGCAATTCAATCACTTCATTACCAGAAGTCATATTAAATCAAATTAAAAGGAGTTAAATCAGAAGGATCATTTGCTTTACTACCCTGAAAATTACCCATAAGCACCAGGTCCTGTGCACTACACCTTGTATATAAGTTGCATATGCTCTGAAAATGTATTTGTGTGTATTCAATTAGGGTTCACCTTTCAAAGACATTCTCTGACATTTTTTCTTAGAAATCCCACTTTATCATTTTAAATAGCTTAGTAATAGTTAAAAAAAATCACTAATCGAACTAATGTGCTATGTTTTGAACATTCTTAAGGCAGGCACAAAGGAACCATAAGCAAAACTGCTCTCACTATTAGTTTGTAGGGAGAATTTCTCCAAGGCCAAGAGTGATGGTCTCCCCTGGCTGAGACACTAGAGATCATCATCTCTCTCCGGAACCAGAAAACTCGAGGCGTGAGCACGCTGGACCAAGCCAAGTCATCCAGAGGAGAGTGCACGTTAACTTGACAGCACGCACGAACCCCTTCTAAACTCATTTACCACTGGCTTCTCTCTAAGAAGGCAATGTCTGCATTGTGATGAGTGGACTGATCTGTTTGGAGGAGGGAATTCATTTCAAACACGGAAATTGATGGTTTAAAACGGAATTAATTTTAATGATGACATCCTGATTTGTGAAAAGAAGATAGAGTTATAATAGTCATTTGTATCCTTTCATTATAATATTCATTTGCATCCTATCAAATATTCCAAAATCGATCCACAAACATGTATGAGAGGTTTCTTATTTTCTTAAAGGAAAGCATCTCTATCTATTTTTCACCCACAGTCGGTATGATAGGGTGATTCCCCGCACCCCCTTCCACCCCACTAAAGACTGTAAGGCAGTTGCGAACTCATCGATGATACTAAAAGAACAGATTATTCAAGTCCTGTTTCTGACAGCCTAGTTAAAAACAAAGCGACTCACAATGCAGGGTAATGGCAATAAGCATGTTTTTTTGTTTTGTTCTTTTATGACATTGCTTTATAATTTCTTCTTCCTGAGGCTAATAGTAAATGCTGAAATATTCTATGTAAGCAACTGTTGGGCTGGAAAAAGAAAGAAACTCTAATGCAAGTATTTATACCTTTCACAAAGGAAACAAGATATTATTGCTTTGAGTGACCTTTCCTAAGTATGGGATACAGCATTTTACACAATAGTTCCTTGGTTCATGCTTCAATTACTGACCTTTACTGTGCAGAAAATTAATGCAATTTTCATTGTAATCCATCCGTACAAATAAAGTCCACACAGAAGAATTCCACATAAGGAATCTAATACAAATAGGAAATGTCAGCTGATTGCTGTTGGCTGAACTTAGCCATTATCTGTTTGTTCTGGGGTCCCCAGCAAACTATATTGGAAACAAGCCATTTCTTGCATGGGCCCTCAGGAGCAAGAGAGAAAGATTTCCTCTCTTCAAAGTTTAGTTTGTAGGTTTAGTTTCCTAAAAGCCAAAAAAACGAGTTACTTGAAAGCACTATGCTATAACCGAAGTCCCACAAAAGAAAGGAGAGAAAAATTGTGGAGTCTAATTTGGTTTCTAATACATGTCAGTACCATGGGCTTAACAGCAAGAAAGAGCAAGGAGCTACAGTGATGTCATTTTACGACCTTCTCTGTCCCAGACAATAAAAGTATGACAGACCCCAGACCTTGTCCTGGTCTGTTCATCAGAGACAAGCAGAATATGGGAATGCGTCCATCTCCCAGGGAAGTTGTGCCAAGGGGCCCAGGCATGCTTTCATCTTGTGCAGTTGTCTGTGATGGTATTTCATGGGAAGGGATGCTGGCAATTAAGGAGTGTCACTTTCAAGACGGATGGTTTGGATAGAAAGGAGTTCCCTCTCTTCTTCTGGCTTGGGAGGAAATGGCTGTGTGTTTATAATTTGTAAACAGTTCATCTCTCACTGGGTGTGTTACAGTTCCCAGAAGCAGTCTGTCATGTCTAACACGCCAAAGAAGCCAGAGGGGCTCCGCGGGTAAGCCCTCTGATAGAGCACACGACGGAGGGGAGTGGTCCCGAGCCTGGGGGTGGAGGATGAGGAGAAGCAGGTCTCCGCTGCGGAGGCAGCTCTCCATGGATGAGACATGATGGAGTGGAATATACGGGTGGGTAATGCGTGCTCTTAAGGTAGAAAATCCCCATGGTTTACAAATCTCTTAGAGAAGTGAGAGGGAAAAGATAGGGACAAGAACTACCAAGGGCGCCCGTCTCAGGAAGTCCACAGTAAGAGTCGTGTTAATCAGAAGAGTCATCTATAGAAATCAAATTTCGTAAAAATATAAACATAAGGAAGCACAGCAAATGTGGTCACGCTGTGGTGATCAAAGGCCCTAGGGAAATACGACGATCAAGCTTTCTCTAGGATGGGGTGGCTTTGGAGGAAAGGAGAGTCCTAATTGCTGACAACCCCAGGATGAGACGGGTTGATGCAAGTGTTGTGCGGAGAACCAATGTTTGCATGGATGTAATAGCTCCAAGGCTCTTTCACGTAGATGCTGTGGGCCCGACTCGGTCATCCTTGCCCAGAAAGGCTTGAAGCAACAGTCCAAAGAGCTCCACCTCCAGACCCTAGGCCCTCGGACAGCTCTCGAGACACCTCAGCGAGAGGTCAGACTGTGACAGCTACTGGTCTAGATTTCATGGCCTGGGTTTGTGGCCTGCCAGTTTACTGAACACCACTTTTTTAGTGCATCATCTTCTTGTCGGACATGCTCCTTTATGAGATGGGCCAAAGGCACATGATCACAGTTATTTCTAAAGAGCAGAAGATGTCTTTTTTCAGAGGTGACTCATTTAAACAGGTTTGGCCAAACAGAAAGAAATCTTCAACTTCCAAGCCTTAATTAATAAAGTTTAGAATTTTGCCTACTGTAGGTTTTAAATAAATTCGTTATCATTTACTTTTCCTTGGGTAAAATACCCGATCCTGCACTCCAGTGTGGCTATAACTATTTTTAACATTCAAGAGGTTAGATTGTGCAGGAGCCACTCCTATCAATTCACTAAGAAGAAAGTTGCATCTATGTGACTTGCTCCCAAAAGGTTCAATTCCCTTCTTAAAGATATTATACTTTATTATTTTGCCATTAATGATGGTTTTAGCATAACAAACAAGATTTACTTTGTAATCTGCTCAATTTACTTCAAACGAGCAAAACCATCTGGCCCACTTAATTAATTTTAAGGCTGTTTGTGTCATGGAATCAGCATCCCCACATTCATGTCTATGTCCTGGGCCTTTCATACTGGACGCTTCGATCTGAAGATGCTGCCTTTACCCTTCTCTGGCTGTACACGACCGTCACGAGCTCTCTGCACCCGCAGGTACTCGGCGGCTGGAAGTCCATTAAGCTAGTGGGATCTTATTTGGCATTTCACTTTGTTTCATTTTATTCCAGAAGGTTTGTCTGAAAGTATAATGACAACCGAAGCAGCAGATTTAAGAGACTCTCCCAGGAGGAGGAAAAGGACAGATGTACGCAGACAGAGAACTGAAAACACTGCCAGCAACAGCTGGGAAAGTGACAGGCTCTGAAGTGGGTGACCACCCCACAGAGCGCAGACACAGACTGAAAGGAACAGCAGTCTCACTGGAGTCACCTGCGGCCGCCTCCGCTACCCTTCATGTACCTTTTCTGTTACCCAGGGGCAGGCTGATCTCTGCTGCCTCAAATGACAAGCCTCCAATAGGCTCGCTTTTTATCATTTCTGTTATTCTTTATCTTTTACCCCTTCTCATCTGCATTTTTAATATCTTAAAAAGAGATATCCTTTCTAAATTACTAGAATATTACTATACCAGTCACTCTAGAGGACTTAAAAAAAATGAGTTTGACACACCCTGTGAGAACATATTGGCTGAAAATATTAACTCTCTTTTCCTGTGTTTTTTTTGCCTGAGCACACTCACCTTGTCATCTTCATCCTCATCGTCTAGGTCTGTGCTCTCCTGAAAAGAAAAACCCCAGCTGGTTAAAACCATCACCTGAAATTACCCAATGCAAAAATTAAACACAGGCACATTTTTAAAGTTTCCCCTCATCCTTTGAGCAAGAAGTGTTTTTAAAATGCATTAAAGCCTCTTAAGAAATAATACTTTTAAAGTTCAGGGACACTGTGGAAGACTATAAACAATATGCATAATCTACATAAAACTTAACTATAAATAAAGCTATTAGGCGAGTGCCCTTTGAAGGCATCCAGCTTTAAAAATGCATTGCTGAGCTGTACTTTCTGTAAACAGTTTGTTCTTATCCTGACAAATGAACCAACTGCTAGGTTAAGGCTGAGAATACCATACTCCATTTGTGCTGGGCTCCGTGTTATAATGACTGCTCTTCTCCTCTGGGGCCATTACTGAAACATTAGACAGTAGAAAATGCATTAGCCTGAATATAATCAATCTCAAGAGTAAGTTACAGGTTTCTATAAGGTATTATTGTTTCCCTGGGCTTCAGGGTTGGGGGGCAGGGCAGGTGAGGGAAGGAAAGTCCAGGCTCTGATCTGGACTGAGGGACGCCAGGCTGTAGTTCAGAGGTCGCAGCACCAGCTGTGCAAATAGGCTTGTTCAGTTAGTTTAGAAATCACAGAGATGTAATAGGTACATTTTAATCACATCACTGCAATATTTAAAATCTCACACAGTCAAATGGGTTCAGTAGCTTGGAAAGAAGGCTGGGGATTAGAAAACTAGGGTCTATTTTCAGCTCAAATGTTTAACCTTTCTGCTTAACCTTGAAAAGATCAGGCATGCTGTTTAGAGGCCATTGTTCCAATAGTAAAATGAATTGTCAATATCATGTTCAAAGGGAGTGACTCTCAAGTATCCAGACAGTGTTTTGCTAAATTCCATAAAATCAGTGAGCAGTCATCAAGCAATTTCTCTAGGGCTGGTACTGCATTACCTCCCAGAATTCCCATGAGCTTCAACTAGCAGTTTGGGTGACACTCATTCATGCTGTAGAACTAACTGATTCACCGTAGGTTGAACATGGAACAAGCATGATTCAGGAAAGCAAATGGATAAAAATGAATACACTCAAAACCGGTTGTGGGAGAAAAAAGCCACTGTAATTAGGAGTTAGAAGTCTTCAGGTTGAGACAAAGTCTTCACACATTATTCAAGCAAGCACTTTTTGCTGTGTGACTTTAGCAAATCACTTGGCCACTCTGAGCCTTAGTTGAATAAGCATAAAATGAAAATGGTAATTCTTGCCTCATTCATGGTTGTGTTATCAAGCTAAATTAGGTAATGAGTTTGAAAATGTTTTGTAGATTAAAAAGGTTTTATATACACACATACATTTATGTGCACATAAACTTAAGCATACTTATGTACTCATATATTTGTACCTATTCCTACATACAAATACACATATGTACCTATATATGTATTATAAACAAGTATATCATATGGAACAGCTGGGAAAATAAAATCTGATTAAAAAGCTTAAATATTATGGTTGACAGCATTCCTTATTAAAGATGTTCCTCTGTAAAAATTTCCCTCATCTGTGCCTCTGTGAAATGTAGGCCTTAAATGAACCGGTACTTTAAAGCTACATATTTATTAGTTGGTTCTAGCATATTTAGACTCTATAACATACACCTCTGCCTACCACATTAAACAATCAAAAGTCACATCTTGAATTTGCCAAAACACTCATTTTCTCCACTTCTCCTATATCCCAAGTGACACCAGAAACATCCTTTAATATTCATTATTTTGGAGACAATTTTTTTTAAGTAATGGCAACCTTATAAGGAAAAATAGGTGAAGATGGTCAGTTTTTGAGTCTTGAAAAGCCTAGTGTGAAAGTAATCTTTTACCAAGTGCCAAAGGCTTAGATTTCTGTTTTAAATACTTGGTTCTTGAATCTGGAATTCTAAAATTATAAAACAAGTTCCTGCTCACCTAGAACAGGAAAAGGTCCTTTGGGCTGGAAGAAGGGATGTAGGGAAAGGTGAGATGGGGCAGAGGTAAGACAAGTATAAGCTCTGCAGGGTGACTTTCAGAAGAGGCTTTGCTCTGCTTCCTTCAAGTTTGAGAAATACAGGAAAAATCTAAGAACAATCTAAGAATCGACTCAACAACACAATTCTCTGATTTTCCTGGGATTTGGCATGCCTTCAGGAATCCCCCGAATCTTCAGGCTAGAGGCTGGAGGGTGCCTGGGTGGGGAGGTCTGAGGGAGCCTCCAGGATTCTCTGAGTGCCCAGAAGGGGCATAGAGAGGCACCAAAGGTTTTTCTCTAGTGGCTGAGAGTGTTATTTCCAAGAACCTTCCAGGGCACCAGATGGGTACATGGACACATGCTGCCGGCATGGAAGTGATGACCAGGGGCCAGAAAGTTCTCCTCATGCTGAGAAACTACTCATGACTCAGAACCCAAGACTTTCTAGAAAGAGGTCTTGAAGTTACACCTGCTCAAAGATTTGCACAGTAACATGGGTGTATGTGCAAGGTTGCTCCACAAGTCTCAAACCACACGGACTTGGGGCCATGATTGGGTGGGGGGGTGCTTTCATTTTTCTCTAGTCAAATGTCACACTTACTGGAATCTTTGCTCACCTGGCTGTCATAGAGGCTGCCGACCTTCCCTTTTGTGAGTGTGATGAAATTGTAGACAAAGAGCAGCAGTAATGCCAGGGGGATCATGTACAGTTCAAAATTCCAGACAGTGAGCAAAAATACCTGATTGGAAGAAGAGACCAAATCAACACTTGATAAAAAACAGGATGGGAGCAGTCTTAAATTGTGACCTACTGACTCAAGGAAATTACACATCCGGCTGTCACTCTATGGTAGGTTTTAGAAACAAACAGGTTAAACACACACACACACACACACACACACACACACACACACACACACNTTGCTTCTAGATTTAGTGTAGGAGAATTTAGGTAAAGTAGTAAAGAAAAATCCAAGGTCTCAAAGAGGCAGGCCACAGATAGTAGGTTTATAAGAATTGCAGAGAGTGACTACTTTTTAAGTTGGCTGCCAATGTCTAAAAATCCATGAAAACTTCAAATTTCCAAAGTCTCTCTAAAAAATCTTAAATTTTTACAATTGTGAGACTGGATAGCCACAGGAAAATAGTGGGTTATGACTGCCTACACTGGATGAGGTATGTACTTCACCTGCCCAACTTCTCTCAAACTCTATGTTTGACCCCTGTTGTAGCAGGACAAGAAGGAACTTGGGTTTGAATCCAAATGTCTCTATGGCAATGGTCCCTGGAGACCTGAATGCAAATAAGACATGAGTCCACCTCCAAGGAACATATAAGAAAATAACAAAAAAGGACAAATAAGAAGAGAACACATGATAATTATAACATGAGGCAGGAATGAAAGCATGTGCAAATTAATTCAAAACTTGCGCCTCACTTTTTGAATTCCCAGGTAGCCTAAAAGATGAAATGAGATGATTTGTGGTTATTAGCTGTCAGCTTCTGCGTGCTTGAAAAAGTCACTCTTAGTAACGTATCAACTTAGAACAAGGAAATTATGCATCTTAAATACCAAGTCTTCCTTTCCAAAACCTGTATTGTTTTCCCTATTAGTAAAAACTTTTTCTGCCACTTTAAACTTTTCTTTTTATAAATGTTATATATTTCTTGCTTATTTTTTTGATTGGTGTTGTGAACTTAACCATTTCTTCCATTATATATATTATTTTCACATGGGTAATTGCCTATAAAAAGCTAGTAACTTACATACATTATTTTTTAAAGTTGGTAACTACTGAATTTTCTTATTGTTTCAAATAGCTTTTTTTTCATTCTGCAGTTTCAAAGCAGTCAAATAGAGTCACAAGATTTACACTAAAGAATTGCTTCTGTTTATTTTCTAATATCCATGACTTACTTTTTTCATACTTAATTTTATTGCTACTAAAAGCAATGTTAAATAAAACTGTTGAGAGGGATACAGTCTACTTCCTGGATTTAATAAAAATACTTAGAGGGCCTGTTTTCTGCCATTAAGAATGGTGTTGGCTGTTAGTTTGAGCTGCATAAATCATATCGCATCAAGAGTACACAGAGAACAGTTTTTAAAGTTAGAAAAGTCACAGAAAGGTGTTCACTTCATTGTTCTTTATATCTTTTAGATATTTTATAAATAAACTGTCTTTTGATTTTGCTCCAAACTTAGTGAAAATATGTTTTAAATAAGAAGACTACCATCAGTTTCAACAAGGGTTTATTTAATTCTTATTATTTTAAAAATCAGGAATGAATTTTATATTTGCAGTTGATAAGTTACTCATCAACTGTACTTTTGATGTCTTCTGAAATAAGGAAGGATTTTTTTCCTTTTCATTTGAGAACATCAATATTGTGTATTATATTTTTAATTTCCTAATATTAAAGTGACTTAGAGATTCTGGGAGAAATCCCTTCTTCACTGAATTGTATTAATACCCTTTTAATATACTGTTGTATTTACTTACTACCACTTGAAGATGTTTTGCATAAATACCCATGAGTTACATTTATTTATTGCTTTCTCTTTGAATTATTTTTAGGGTTTGGTATCAGGTTTATTTTAGAACCATATAAAATTTACAGTCTATTCTTTCTTTCTCTCTGCTCCAGCTCATATTTTTATATTACTAGATATTCCAAGAATGAAAAAATAATATTGTGACATGATGTTTCCACATAGACCAATTTAACAAATGTCCATGCAGCCCCAAGCCTTAAGAATCGTTGGTAGCCCGTCACCATTCTTTCCAATTTGTGTATTTCTTTTCTTTTTAAATATAAAATATTTCATATGTGGTTTCAATGGTCAACCTTACTCAGACTGTATCCCACCATTCCCAGAGGCCACCATGTCCTAAAATGCATGAGAATGATACGTGAGAACATCTAAGGTTTAAATTAGAAATAAACAGCATCAAAACATTCATATCATTCTGGAATTTATTTACTCATTATTTTGTTTTATAGATTTATTGATAGGATGTGTATAAATAAAGTACATTCATTTTTAACTCATACATGGTACCCCTGAATGTTCTTCAATTTATCCATTAAACTCTCTTTTCCATGAAAATGTAGGTTGAAGCAGTGCTTTTACTTTTTTAATGTAGTCAAACATACTAATCTTCAACCTTAGAATTTATTGCTTTGATTTTCAATGTTCTAGTTAAGACATCATATTTTACTGAGATGATAAAGCTATTTCCTTTTGTTTTCTTCCAAAAGATAAAAGGCTGTGTATGTATATGTGTTTTGTATTTTGTGTCAAATGTGTTTTGGTTTATAGCTGGGAACATGCATCCAGTTGCCTTCCAGATAGCCAACTATTACAACTAGATTAGTAATCTATATTTTGATCCATATTTTGTTCATGAGTCTCCATTGCCACTTCTGTCACATACCAAGTTCCCATATGAGCATGTTTGTTGTTTGTGGGCCATTTAATCCCTTCCATTTATATACATTTCTTTTTTTTTAAAACAAGACTGTAATTTTAAATTATAGTTTAGTAACCAAATAATATTTGAGTGGGCAAGTCTCTATTACTCCACTTTCAAAATGATCTTGGATAGCTCTTTATCCTTTACTATTTCACACGTATTTTAGAATTCAATTTGTAACTATCAGTTTGGAGAGAACTGACATCCTGATATTGACCTTCAGAATAATAAAGTTTGTTTATATATCCATATAGTCAGGATTTCTCTCATATATCTCAAAATACTTTCTCTTTTACCATACTTACTTTGCATAGGTTTTATCACTATTTCCTAAGCAACTGGCAAATTTTGATATTATTAAGAATGGGGCCATTTTAAACTTATATACTTTAATTTGTTACTTCTGGGTATAGAAATGGTGATTTTATATGCTGTTCACATTATTTCTGAGCCCCCATTACCTTCAGGGGATTTCAAATATATCCTTTTGAAGATCTATTGCAGAAAAATGACATAAACTGAAAATTATGAACGTTTTCATTTTGCTTTCCAATCCATGTTACTTACATTTCATTTTAGCGCTAAAGCACTACACAACTTTTATGAGTAAGTACAAAATTGTTGAAATGATTTTTGAATCAATACAGATTATTATGTTGTTGATTTCTTCCAATCTATTAATCTGGAATGCTTTATCAACTTTTATTTGTTGTTTCATAATATATCTTTTCCTATAATTTCTCATCTTCTAAAAGGTTTCTTTTTCTTTTGTTTGTCTTGTTTTGTTTTAATATGAGTAACATAGAAAGAAGCAGAGAAAATAGTATAGCAATTTCTCTACTAGGTAAAGCGAGAGAGTTTTCCAGTTTTTGCCTATTTTCCCCTCTCTGTTTGTAAGCTTCTTTTAGGGTTCGAAGTGTTACCTTTATTCTAAATGATTTCTGTTTTTTAATGTCTATTGAGTAAATAGGATTTTATTGTTCTTTGAAATTGGTATGTATAACTGTAAGTAAAAAGAGATTGGAGAAAAATTGGGAAACAGCATATTTTAATTTATTTTCTTCACCATAAAGCTATTTATAATAACAAAACTACCTTGTATATCAGTCAATATTAGAGGGATGGCTCTGCTGGATAATGACCTCATTTGCCATGACTATATGTTGAAAATATCAGAGAAGAGCTTCAAACACCTATGAAGAATATGCTCAATGAAGTGAAGAAAAAAAATGTTAATAAATAAAATTTAGTAAATGACAGTATAAAAAAGAATAAAAGGGAAAATTGCTCAACTAAAAATTACAATATCTGATTTTTAAAAAATTCAGTGAAAATGTTTGGTAGCAGAATTAAGCAGTCAGTGAAAATAAAGATTTATCAAAAGAGATAGTCTTACATGAAAGAGAGGAAAAAGGTGGGGAAAAAAATAAATGAACTATTTGTGGTCTATTGGTAATTTCAAAAATTCTAACATAGGTATTTAGAATCTCAGAAAAAAGACGGAAGTTAGACAAATATGTGAAGAAGTTATGGCTGAACACCTTCTAGAGAACTCCAATCTGAAATAATTCAAGTAAAACAGCTCTAAGCATATATATCATAATCACACTTCTGAAAAACAAAGATAATGAAAAATATTTTAAAGCAATTCAATAAAAATAATACATTATTCATGTGAGCACAACTATTTGAATGGCTATGGATTTCTCATCAGAAACCATGGAGGCAAGGAGACAGTGCAATAGCAATTTTTCAATGTTAAATGAAACAAAAACAAAAGGCAATAATTGTCAACCCAGAATTATATATACAGTGAAAATATCCTTCAAGAATGATGGTGAAATAAAGATAAGATAAATTTTTAAAATTTTTCACCAGCATACTTGCTCATCAATAAATGCTTAAGAAATTCTCCAGGATAAGGGAAAAATGATACCAGATGGAAATTCAAACTTCAGGAAGAAATTAAGAGCATCAGAAATGTAAAAGACCTTTTTTCACTTTATTTTCTTTATAACGTATATAACTTATTTTTAAGCTTCTTTTTAAAAATGTTGATTGAAGTATCATTGATATACAATCTTCTACTGTTTCCAAATATACAATACAGTGGTTTAACAGTTACTCATACTTTTAAATCCTCATCCCCACTGGTGCGGTTACTATCTGTCAACTATTCATGTTAACAAACCATGTGTTACTATAGAAAATTGTTACACAGAATCATTGACTATATTCTCCATGCTGTACTACTATTTTTG